ACCTGAGCCAAAGTTGGCTGACTTTTAGGGGCTGACTGAGCCACCTGGGCACCACTCTCTTTTAATTTCAAAGGTAAATTAAACTAATCTTTCTCTTCCTTTCAATAAACTACCTTCTAACAAATTTAGTTATATATAAAGTGAGACCATTCCCAGTATAAATAAGTAAAGCAAGCAAATGTTAAGAGCATCAAGAAATCTGAAGACATTACTAAGACATTACTAAGAAATTATAATAGTTTAAGAAAAAGAAATATTTTAAGGGTTATCCATCATCATTTGAATATTTTCTCTATATTAATAAGCATGTGCCAGAAAGAGAAAGAGTAAGAATGAGAAAGAGAGAGAGAGACAGAGAGAGAGGTGTTAGATTGCACATGTGAAATGAAAATAAGTTTCCAAGCAGTAGCCTGTGAGGCAAACGTGTAAGGAGTCTGACAGAAACCAGAGCACTGATGGAAAAGTTAAAGACCTGACAATGTGGATGAGATTTAGAATTTTCCCATTTTTTATTATTTTCTTCCCTCTCCTGCAGCCTGCTTCTATCACTGCCCAGCACCTGCAGCATGGTGTCCTTCAGAAGAAACAATAAAGGGGAGTTTAAGGCCTTCGGGAAGAAGGACAGGACTAGTAAACTTCATGAGGAATGAAGTCCTCAAAGGAGAGGAATGAAATATTCACCTTCCTGCAGAGCCTGGTCTCTCTAATGGGAATGAAGAGGAGTACGAAGGGGCTGCTACAGAAGGATACAAAATGGCGGAGCGCCTGGGTGGCTCAGTCTGTTAAGCATCTGACTCTTGGGTTTGGCTCAGGTCACCATCTTGTGGTTTGTTGAGTTTGAGTGCCGTGTCGGGCTCTGTGCTGACAGTACAGAGTCTGCTTGGGATTCTCTTCTCTTTCCCTCTCTCTCTGCCCCTCCTACTCTCTCTCAAAATAAATAAACTTTAAAACATAATAATAATAATTTTTTTTAAAAAAAGGATGCAAAATGTCAGAAGCCATCAAGATGGCTCTCCTAGAGCCTCTTCGTCAAACCTTGATTCTCTCACCTTCTCCTGAAGCCGGATATTATCCCACACCTTGCTGCACACCATGCACTCAAATGCATCGATGTAGTTGTCCTGGTGGACGTCTTGTACTCCCCACTTCCGTTCCTTGAGTGCTGTGAGAAGTCGCTGATTCGAGACCTCACCCTTCAGCTTCCATTCTATGTAGGCCTCGTACAGTCTGTCGTCGTGATCCAGTTGTCTGATGTAACTTGCCAGTTCTCTAGGGTGAGCAAATTCAGACACGAGAATAGCACTTCTATTACTTGGGAGCCAGTCAGCGATGCTGGGGGACCCATAATACACAGGGACCACCCCCAGTTTCAGAGGTCTCCAGAACTTCTCAGTGATGTAGTCGTCACACACCGCATTCTCGAAGGCAAGGATAAACTTATACTGTGCAATGATCCTATAAAAGCCATCAGCATCCATGGAAGCTGGATTTTTTAGCTGCGGAGGGAGATCCTTGTTTCGTAAACACTCACCGTAGGAATCCACCTCAACGTGAGTCATCAGTTCTCGAACATAGCTGTCCCTGTCTGATGGCGGGTCACAGTCTGACTGGACATACACCAGTGGAGCAAGTCTTCTTCGAAGGATGTTCTTGGACCGCAAAGGGACCAGGTATCTGAGTGACTTCAGGACTTCTACGCCCTCCAAGTACTGGGTGGTCAGTGGCAAGTGGGAATGTCGGCTGAACGTGGCAGTGTAGTTGAACAAGGTGATGACTGGCTTGTGAAAGAGCTTGTAATTATTTTTCGGAGACTCTTCGTGAAAAAGGGCCCAGTCGTGATGGGCCTTCCGAGGCAGAGGTAAGCTATCTATGTTAAAGTCAGTGCCTGGAAGAAGAAAAGAAAACGTTAGTATGTGCGCAAGAATTTTAGTGCTCGTCTGGAGTCCACCTGGTGAGATTAGAATACAGAGGAGTTTGAGGCTATGACGAAGGACGCTACAGCGCTTGCAAAGTGCCTCGCAGTCAGTCATGACGCTGTCACCCTAGAGACTGTTCAGGGGGAGGATCACCAAGCAGAGGGACCCTCTTCCTGATTTTATAAAAAGAGAAATGGGACTAGTGTCTAGCCTGGTTCCGAAATGAGAATTTATTCTGCTGCCTCCGCCAATTGGCTTTTCTCCCCAGAGGTGTTGTCTCAGAGAGGGTGGGAGAAAGAAAGAGATAGACAGTTCTTAAAAAAGAAAAGAGCAAGAGAAAGGAAGCCAAAAAGGGGTAAGCCACCAGCTTGGCATTGATGGACTGAAAAAAAGTGAAATCATGCAAAAGTAGCCAGAATGAATATATGGTATAGATTTTTTTTTGATCCAAAATGATCGATTTCAACAAAGTGCAGTGAATCAATCTTAGTCAAAATGGTAGAAAAGAGGCTTTTAAAGACAAAACAGCCAATAACAGCACCATGCTACAGACCGCTGCAGGATGGACGTTAATTAACAAGCACATCAAGAAATAAAGAAGGCATAACAGGATTATAATTATGAGTGATTCTAACTTCCACAGGATTAATTGGGAAACCTTTGAAACACGATCCTGTGCAGACAGAAGTGATGGATGTGGTAAGCAGTTGTTTCCTGACATTGTGGATGGAGACTCAATCAGGAAGAAGTTATTTCTATAACCGAGAAAGGATTAAGACAATACCACAATATGTAACAGAATTTCTAAAGTGTTCCTGACACTGATGATTTTGTGGCCCCTGATTTGAGTTTTTAAATGTAAGGAAATGGAAAAAAAAAAAAAAATCTATCTGCAGGGAAAAAAAAAAGCCCAAATAAATGCTTCCAGAGGAACAAAACATATTCTCTAGTAGAATTCATAAAAATTAATTGTTTAATGCTGGTACACACTCTCTCAAATAAATATATACTCTTTGGTGCCAACACTACAGCAAGGAGAAGTCATTTAATCACGAAAGGCTTGTAAACAATTAAAGATCAAGTAAGATTGGGGCGCCTGGGTGGCTCAGTCGGTTAGGCGTCTGACTTCGGCTCAGGTCATGATCTCACAGTTAATGAGATCAAGACCCATGATGGGCTCTGTGCTGACAGCTGGAGAGCCTGCTTGAGACATTCTCACTTCCTCTCTCTCTCTGCCCCACCCCCACTTGTTCTCTCTCTCTCTCTCCCCCTCTCTCTCAAAATAAATAAATTAAAAAAAAATGATTATGTATTTGTTTACTTGGCATTTGCCATATTTGACCTTTAGCATCAAAAAGAATAGGGGCGCCTAGGTGGCTCAGCTGTTTAAACGTTTGACTCCTGATTTTGGCTCAGGTCATGAACTCAAAGTTGGTGCATTTGAGCCCCATGTCAGGCACAGACAGTGCACAGCCTGTTTGGAACTCTCTCTATCTCTCTCTCTGATCCTCCCCTACTTGTGCTCTCTCAAAATAAATAAATAAATAAACA